CCCCGGCACATCAGCCTGAGGAGGGCGCAGCCCACTGTCCACCAAGAGCCGGAGATGGCCTTGGCCTGGGCCCCCAGCACATCAGCCTGAGGAGGGCACAGCTCACTGTCCACTGAGAGAGCTGGAGATTGGCACCAACCTCAATGCCCAATGCTGGGGGATCTTACTGACTCCCCTCCTGTTCACTGTCAGGCCAACCCCCCTGGACTGCTGGCCCTGCTAGACGAGGAGTGCTGGTTCCCGAAGGCCACGGACAAGTCCTTTGTGGAGAAGGTGGCCCAGGAGCAGGGCAGCCACCCCAAGTTCCAGCGGCCGAGGCACCTGCGGGATCAGGCCGACTTCAGTGTCCTGCACTATGCGGGCAAGGTGGGGGGTTCAGTCTTGGGACATATGGGCAGGGGTAGGCGCGGGGAGGGTCTCTGCTTGGCTGCAGCAGTGGAGAGGATGCAGAAGGTGAGCAGGAGCAGGACAGGAGCACGGCAGAGCGTGGACTCTGTCCAACCAAGTCAGCAAGACTTCCTCAAGGAGGGGCTGCTGCAGTGGGCCTTGAGAGATGCGTAGGCATTTCCAGGAGAACGCGCGTTTCCTTCTCTTACTCGGCAGGCTTGTCGAGGGGTCTTGATAGCTCCGTGCAGTCCTCTGTGCTGAGCAGAGCTGAGCATGACTCGGGGGGTCCTGCCCGCGCACAACTCCTGGTCAGAGAGGGAGGCAAGTGTGGACCGTTAGCGTGAGGCCTGTGGGCGTTCTGATGTGATGACTAAGGGCAGGGTCAGAGCCCTGAGCAGAAATGGAAAAGCAGGGAAGGGTTCAAGAAGAGAATAGTGCTTGATCGAGGGTCTGAATCAAACGTTTCGATCTGAAATCTAAGTCGAACATTTCGGAAAAGGGCCAGACAGTAAATAGCTCCAGCTTTGTATGCCAGATGGCCACTGTCACCACTGTGCAGCTCTGCGGCCTCTGAACAAAGCACGCGAGCTCCACAGATGGTGTGTACTTGGACACGCCAGTGAAGGCTGGCTTTTAAAAAAATATTTATTTTATTTAATTTATTAATACTAGTTATTTTTAATTTGCTATAGGGCACATGTGCTCATCAGAGAGAGAGAGAGAGAGAGAGAGAGAAAGCCTCCAGTGCAGAACTTGAATTGTAGTTGGCCATGTGGGAGTCCAGTGGCATAACCACCATGCCACCTGCTGACCCAGTGCCATAGCCTGATGGCAAAAAGCCCTGGGACCCCAAGGAAAAGCAGGTCGAGGGACTTGAGAAAGGATAGACAGAAAAAAAAAACAGAGATTGGGCAGTCTCAGAATCTCTGCGTGGAGAATGCCATGGCCCCTGGCCATTTTGTGTTCATTCTCTTATATTAGAGCTTTTGCTTGCTCTCTGTACATCTCCATTTTATTTACTTTAAAGGTTTTTCTGCCCCGATTTGGCCGCTCCCTGCAGTTTAAGGCTGGTTTTCAATAACGCTACATTTACAAAAAGGAGTGGTGGGGCCAGCCTGTGGCGTGATGGTTAAGGTGTCTGGATCCCACATGGCTGACTGTATGGTGTGAATCCAGACCCCATGGCTTGATAAAACACGCCAGGCATGTGTGCATGCATGCCTGAACTCCTGAGGGGAGGAGAGAGGAGAAGAGACTGTGGCATGACCATCCCCCCAGGAGACGTTTCCTTTCTGTCTTCCTCTTTCTTC